ATAGTATTAATATATGTGTCAAATTACTCTGTAGATGATTATGATATTGCAATTTTTTATGCCTCTGATTAATAAAGATTTTTTGTTTAATTAAGTAGTTGATGTAGTTTTTGTTACTTACCTCAAAGTTACCGATAACCTTTCTTCTGCTGGAATAGCTTTGCAAAGCCAGCAACTTATCAAAAAAGTTTATATACATACGAAGATAATTAAAAAACTTTGGTGGATACTGACGTAATTCAGAATATATAGTGTAGAATTTTCCTTTAAATAATCTTTCCGTGTATATAGAATGCACCCAGTAGCGTTTTTTCCGTTTCATTTTTCTTCTACGTATTTCAAGAGCACAAATCACGGCAACCTCGTTGAAGTACATTACAAAAATGAATGTGATTTGTTACCCAAGAACAGATTCAGTGAGCGCATCGTGGGTGACAGCAGGTGACAGTAATAATAAATCACGGTGACAAAAAATTGCAATCAGCGGCGGGATTTAAAAAAATTGTGAAATAGTGTGCAAATATTTATTACTTTATAAATTATTTTGGGACTATTTAAAATAGCGTAGTTCGTAGTATATTGTAAAAAGTTGTAAATATTTTGTTATTTTCTACAAGATGAATTTTTTGCAAATTATTGCATGTAAAATATTCTTATAATCGAAGGCTATCGCATAGTATAGTTTAAATAGCAATTACAAATACAAAAATACAGATACAAAATATTTTATTTCTTTAACTAAGTGAACATAAAATGCAAAATATTATTTAGAAGCAGTTAAAACCTAACGATGTTATATAATATATCGTTCAGTTTTCGTGGAGACTTTGATGTGTAGTTATAATGTTGACCTTTGACTTTTTACATATTAAAATGCCATAATAAAATTTTCATTTTTCTGCTTGATTGTACATGCGCAGTGGACTCTATTTAATTTCATCTTACGTGGCACGACCTATACTTATTTAGACGACGTGGTCGCGAGTGGCTAAGTGTGATTGCGGCGATGCTGGGCCGCTGGTGAAATTCCGCAAGACAAAAGTGTTTAATATGGTCTATAAATTATTGTTCCTGGTACCTGGTAAGACAATGCAGGTGGCTCGGGATCGTGCTTTGTGGCATTCCTTGGGGGAGGCAGCAGCAGTGAACTTGTGAAGGCTTTTAATGATCACGACGATGATGATTGTTCCGGGTCTGTGTGTGTCTGTGTGTCCACGTTCATGGATATATGACACATTTAAAATACATACATAAATCAAAATACAATTTTTTATTCAAAATCAAAAAAAAAAAATAATAAAAACAAATTCCAAACTAAAATTTCAAGAAGTGTCAAAATAGTTAATTACGTTTAGTATTTTTTGGAAAGTTTCGAACACTGACTACAACTTTTAGAAAATAATAATTGTGAAACCACATTTTTTTATTGGATAGGGTAACAAACGAGCACACAGTCCACCTGCTGGTAAGTGGTTGCTGTGGCCCATAGACATCTACATATATCCTCGATTACGAATCAAAATGGAGATGCGTTGTAACCCGTGAGGGCTAAATGGAATGCCTCGTTTCCAGTAAAAAGGGTCTCCGGTTCTCTACACTCACCATACGAAACACAGCAGCATTAAGCTACTATTTTACGCTGGTATTCTGTGAGAGCGTGGTCCTTCCCCGGTCGAGCCGACCCATTCGTGCTACAACTATACTACTAATATAACTGCAGCATGGCTCTACCACATTATAACAATAATATAATATTATAATTTTTAGGTTTACGTACCCTAAGGATAAAACGTCCGTCAGTCTGTCTGTCCATCGGTCTGTTTGTCCGTTTGTATGTCATAGACCTGAAATTTGTATATTTACTATAGAAAGTTGATTCGGAAGCCGAATATTGAATAAAAAATGGAAGTCCATAGTCTGCCTACTCCTCTGGGTGACAGGCGTGAGTTTCTTTTGGCGGTCTCATGTACGAAATGCGAACCGTAAATTTTTTTTCTTTCTCTAGAATTTGGTGTGTCATTGATAAAAATACAATAGTGAGTAGTTTTCAATAATAAAGAATTTTGGTAGGTGGCGTCAAAGTTGTAAGTTTTAGGCCGTATTTGTTACGATGTCTATCTCAAGAATTAATCTAGTTAGAAATTAGAAACGCCTGTATATTATGGAACCATATTTTGTATTTTTAAACAACAAATACCGAAAACATCTATTCGTAATGATGTAGTTTCTACTGGCCGGTATTATTTAACTTTAACTGTCGTATATTTTATAAGAATAAAAATAATAAACACATTAAGTGTCATATTTCTGAATAAAACCATCAGCGTGTCCCATACTTAAATCAAGTAAAATTGTTTATAAATTGTATTACTCGTAAAAAACAAAAACAAGATTTAATGAAATTTAAACAATTATCTAATAGGATATTACACTCATTTTAATGAATCCTAAAGTGATATTGAACCACTATAATTTTTATATAAATTTTTTAAAACCAAATGGTGCCATAAAAATTTCTTTTAATCCATTGAGCTATTACGTACTGGAGGCGACACTGCATTCAGCTATGTTCCACTCAACTGCGGTGCATACACTGTACTTTAATCAGTCACTCGCTAGAGGCTTGTAGAGTTGTCACGTGTTGTGTAGATTTAAAAAAAATCTTGATAAAAATATGCCGTCTTGTGTACTTAGATATTGCACAAATAATTCAAGAAATGTCAGTAAAAACCAAGACATTACTTTCAATCGGTTAATAAGATACTTAATCAATAAAAATTATTATAGATTAATAATAAAACAAATTATTCCTAAGATGCCATTTCGTGTCATGGAAAACACAAACGTGTCGTGTCAAACATTTTTGTGGGTACTTAGTAAAGTATAGGACGATTATATTATTATACACATTTTTTTGTAGAAACATATATAAGTTATTATAATTAGGCTTATTTTTCATGTTTATATCTGCTTATTATTCTTTTATTTTATTTTTAGGTTTCCACATCGAAGTCAAAGTGGAATAAATTCGTCCATTATTAATTCTCGCGTGCCCAGCATTTATGAAAGACTCTTATTCTAATTTAAATAAATATATTTTTAATTTAAATGTTATGTTAATAAGTTTTGTTAAATAATAAATATTTAGTATATTTTTTATATTTGACCTTTTAAAATATTAAGATAAAAATATCATTAAAATGTAATTGGGATATAATATTTTGTAATATTATATTAAATAAGCAAATATAATATACAAAATAAATGACAAAATTTAAATTTAAATTCAATATTGTTCTCGATATAATTTACCATATTTAACAATACAATCTACTATTACCCACGGGTCATTCTACCTATGTTTATTCTATGATAAAAAAAAACAACCGCGCGAACACAGAGTAGCGCACATTTTTTGTTTGAGATAGCTGTTCTAGTACGTAAGTACATATTACTTCAATGTTTTAATCTAGCGTTCTAAATTTTCGCGTAAAAACGCTAGCCGCCATGCTGTACAACTCGTGACGTCACTGTCTTCGAATTTTGCCGATTTTGCAAAGGAATAAGATACTTTTAATGTTTAATAATGAGTTGTAATCTAAATCATTGTTGTGTTGTGCTTGAATGCAAAGAACGGCGGGAAAGATATGGGTTCAAGTGCCAACTGATTTAAATGTAAGAAATACTTGGTTAAAACTGGCAAGAAGATACCTGAATACATTGTATATAAAAACTAGACTATTCTTTTGTGAAGATCATTTTGATGTAAGTATGACTTAACTATCGTTTATACAAAACAAAACATCATGAGGTGAAGGGTATCGCAAGTCAAATTTTATAATAATTTACGTTAACTTAGAGATTTTATCTAATGATTGCTAATGATTGTAATTATAGATAAACTAAACTATGATAGCTACTAAACTAAGTTTTATCAAAATACACTCTGACCTGGTATTGTGTTTTTGATACACAAAGTTGGTATTGGGTACTTACATTGATGTTTTAACATTCCTCGACTCAGCAGAACAAAAATTGAGATTGCATGCAAAACAATTTTGCCACCATCAACTTATTTATCCTTGGTAGATTAGTACTTTCTGCTTTTAAGAATTCATCTTCCACGATGCGTTTTCAATACTATTCATAATAAAACTCAATAATCGTAATGATAACTTGAAAAAATTCGAAATAACACAGCACGTTAGCTAGCTCTCTTAATCAGTGACACAGAACACTAATACCTTTAGGCGAGATCAATGATGTCTCAACGGTTTCTAATATGGCGGACAGCGTTTTGCAGATTTGAGGGACAGACAAAAATGTATATATTCTTAAAATTGAAATATAAAATTTATAATGCAATTTTATAAATAGAAATCAATACTCGTATTTCTCGTTTACTTTTTACAAAATATATCATAAATATATATTTTTTGGTTTTTTTACATGGTGTAAAATACCCTATTGTTAGTTCGCACAGTATTCAGATTTGATATATTTAATTTTTATAAATTAAGGTTGACTAATGAACACACAGTCCACCCGACGGCACGTGGATGCTGTGGCCCAGACTCATCAAAATGCATATGGGTTGTCACCCCTGAGGACTGAGATGAAATGCCTCATTTTCTGTAAAACGGGTCTCCGGTTCTCTATACTCACCATACGAAACACAGCAGCATTAAGCTGCAATTTACGCTTCTGTAAGAGCGTGGTCCTACTCCGGTCGAGCCGACCCATTCGTACCACGACCACAATGTAGCCGCAACGTGACTACTTTATACGTATAATAATAAATAATAATAATAATATTTATATATTTATATATTTTTATTTGTTGTTTCTCACATAACTTATACAAACAAATCATATTGAAGCTCTGTAGCCCGTGGTAGTTGAAAACTGTGTAATGTGACATAGTTGTAATGTGACAAACTATTATAGCAAACGGTATTAAATTAATTAGAATGAAAATAACACTTATTTCTTATTTGCAGTAACACAGGAGATAGAGGAGAAAAAACCCGACAGGCCTCCGAGCAAGACAGCTAACGCCATCTACCCCGCACTCAACAAGTACTCGGAGAAAACAGCTTCGGTAAAGGAGCTCACTACTTCTAAAATAAGGTAGGTCAAAGATATATTTATGTAACGAGTTTTAGAACTTGAATTTTACTTTCATAACGGATTTTATACAAAAAAAAATTAATTTACATGCGTTTTGAAATATTTTTTTTAGTTGTTGTTGTGTAGTAGTTTTTAGCTGTGATATTATTTAATCTCGACCAGGGCAAAGCAAAATGAAGATTTACACCTTCTAGTAGTGTTCGTATCAATCGCAAAGTATCGATAATTGCATCGTTATTTAATATTAGTAAAAATTGTGATGATCTATTTTTAATAACTTACTATTATTTAACAGAGTACCAAGTATCAAATACCGTGTACCTTGTACCGCGTGGTGGCGGTATTAGAATTTCCACTACCCCATATCATCCCGTGAGTGTCGTAAGAGGTCAGAGGGAAACAAATCTGGAGATGGGGAGCAGCGTCTTTCTAATAACGATTAAAAATAATAAACTGCGGTTACCAACCCACTTGCCACTACTCGTGGCAACTGTGGTAAATATCCCTCTATGTGGCAATCTATGGGGGATGCTTATGTTCATCAGTGGACTTTCATAGGCTGTAACAGAGAGTACCATGTTGCCCCTGAATTAAATGCCACCCACAACGAATACTTGTACCAAAAACAAACTTTGTATTTTTTGTTTTAACTTCAACTTGTTAAGTGAAAAGGCATTTGTGAAGTTCAGTCAGTTCGCTTTACCATCTTAGGCTATAACCACTTACCATTAGGTAGGATAGCAGTGTGAGCATTAGTGAAATTTATGTAAATTTAATTTTTACTATGAGTTACTTTTAGCTAACGTTCGCATATTAAGAGTGAAAGTTGAGCTTTTTGAATGTATGACGATGATGTATGATAAATAGTTATTTTTCAAAGAGTAGCCAAATTTAAACCTAAGTTCAAATATATAAATAATAATACACGGTTATAGCACTTTTTGAAAATACGAGTTAATAAGGCTTCTACTTTTATTTGAAATTATCCCGAGTTGAATGTGATTTATGGGCAACAATATTTTTGCCTACCGATCGACCCTTCCGAATGTATGCGTGCGCAGTATAATCAGTTAAAATAATGCATTACCATGCATTTTGAATTCAAAAGATAAAAAGCACAGAATGTTTGAGATTTTTTCAATTAATTTGTCTTCACCATTTGCTTATATTAATTATTCTGAACCTTCTCTGCAAATTTGGCCGGTTATTGCAGAATAACCCTGTTTAGCAAGAATTATTTATAACGTTATGAAGTGCGAGTTGAGGGGAGCGGGAGCTATATTACAATAACAGTTTTATTTTTATTTTTGTATGCTTTTAATAAATAATTAATTAAGTTGTCAATATTACAGTCACCATAAGGAAAATACAGTAAACAAAGAAAGCAGTACACAGAGTACAGTCACGCACACAAACAAGAGTGAATCAGAGAAGCTTATCCACAACGAAAGTACTGCTGATGGAACACCAGACGGCCAAGTAAGTTTGTTGTTTACAAGCGAACATTTGTTAAAAAAATTTGTGATAAGTAATGTATTCATTTTGGACACCGTGTGGCCTACTATTTTGAGTATTTGGCCACTAAAGGGTGGTCCTTGATTCGAATCCCAGCCAGAGCCAACGTATTGTGGCGTGTAGGTGATTAAAAGTGAGTGCCTTCATTTACTTTAAAAACGATAGAAGTCTTTAATTGCAATATTTATTAAAATAAGATAAATCAATATCTTTAAAAAACGTCTAAAAACTATTTATTATATTTTTTATCTTTGCGACGAAATATTTTTGATCTAGATATTCTCAGAATTTCCATAAAAATATAACATTACTCATTTACGTTTTTGTAGGTATCTTTATAACAAGCTTACAATAACAATTTCCTGCGTGTGTTTAGGAGAATCCCAGTTATTGCCTAGATTCATTGACCCGTAATTCTGTGGTATTGTTAGAACATTTTAATTTGCGCATATATTGTATAATTTTTGAATACATCAAGCTTGAGATCATTTTGGCATAACTTAAATTGAAAATTTTAAAACCCCCGAAACAAAAAGAGGTCGTCTTCAAACAGCTGAAAAGATTTTCTTGAATCATAGCTAAGAACACTCGATAAAATCACCTTTCAAACAAAACAAAACAAAATGTAATTGGTTAAACCGTTTGTGAGTTACACATAAACATATAACATCCCTCAGTTTGCGTCGGGGGTTAAAAACAAAGACACTAAACGGTTATAAACCATTGCGAATAAAAATATATTTAATCCTAATCTGTAAATATACATACGGCAGTTTGATTTTTTCTTGTTGATAATTAAGTTGGTACTATCGATATTATATCGCTTGAGATAGATAACAAATGTAATTTTGTAATCGATATTGTCGTTTGATGATTTCAAGTGTCTAGTTGATGATTATATTCTTTAAGGTGAAGAAGCCTCCAGTGCCGTTAAAGAAGAGTCCCACGCCCACTTCGGGCGTCGGAGGGCTCTTCAGCGGCCTCAAGAATAAAATGCTATCTTCGTCGGACAAGTAAGTGAATTTTTGTGTAATTTTAGGGTACCACTATCAAGAATAACTCTTTATAATTTGGTTATTTCTGTCTGTTCAAATTTATCACCGCATAAACTAGAATTCTTTTAACAAATAAGAACAGAATATAGGAAAATAATCATTCGACAGATTTTTATTTGGTTGTAAGTGAATATGTATATTTATTTAAGTTCATAGCAATGACGTACGTAAAATAATGTTCGAACCTAAATTTTCTTAGTGAAGTTTCGGAATCAATCTGCTATATAAACCATAGAATACTATAATACATACATAATAGAACGGGGGAGTGGGCGGAGCCCTCATAGCCACTAAAATCTCACTAACACGTCAATTCACACGTATAAATGTCTACACTTATTATATTTTAATAATATTTTGACGTTACAATCTTTCCAAATTTCGCATGTAAATTATTTAGAAAATGCCAAATCGCACCCTATTTACAAATAAGTATGTATTAAAATTTAATGATGATCTTGAACATTAATTAAGTCTAAAATGTATAAATTTACTCAGTCTGTCAACACAGCGAATCGGGTTTGGCGACGCCAACCCTCGTATAAAATAGAGTTGACAGCCATTCTATTGTGTATTAAAATATTCTATGATATAAACAAAACAGCAAGGCTGCTTTCTGGGCTATTGGGCTATTACTTCGAACTGAACCATGAACTATGACCCTGATATCTGACCGTTTAGTGGCGGTGTAAGAATATCCAGTTCCCCACGTCCTCCCGTGGGCGTCGTTAGAGGCGACAGAGGGAAACAATTTAGGAGATGGGCAGCAGCGTCTTCCTAATAACAGCTAGTCTCAAAGAAACTGCTATCGCTAACCCTTCTGAAAAGCGTGGCGATCCTGCCGCACATTCCCCTTTGAGGCAATTTTTGAGGAGGCATATTATGTTTAGCAATGAACTATGATAAGACTGTAATGAATGACTGAATGTAAAAGGAATCGTAAACGAGCTCCTGATGGCATCCTGTTTATTAAAAAGGAATAGAACAAAATAATTATTCTAGTAATAACCTGTACTAATATAGAGTAATCCAATACCTATATATATATTATATAAGAATTATATATATATAATCAGAATCTCGGAAACGGCTCCAACGATTTTCATTAAAATTTAGTGTCCAGGGGGTTTCGGGGGCAATAAATTGATCTAGCTAGGATTCATTTTTAGAAAATGTAGTTTTATCCGTGTTTTTAGGCAATGAAAAACTGCTACAATATCATTAGAATAAGAAGGTAAATTTTAGCAATGTGTCAATAGCTCAGATGGGATATCGGGCGGTTCGGATCGTATTATTCTGGTTCGGGTCCTGTCTTCGGTCCGACATTTTTTCCTTTTTTTTTCAAGTTCCCTTCTTTTGTGAGAAAATCTATTATTTCGAGCCCTTTTTTAGTATTGTTTATAAAAACACGAACATTTAAATTAAACTAATTGCACTCATAATTTTTTATTCAAATAACCAGTTCAGTTTTTTCTATTATGTCGGTAAGTTCAAAAAATATTATTCATATTTCATCAGTATGTAATCTGTATCTAAATATAATTTCCAAAACACACAATTTCCAAAAAAAAAAAAAATACCGGGCCAAGCTCGGTCATCGAGGTACTATACTAAATTTTTTATGTATACAAATGATTTCAGAGAAAAGTCTTCAACAGTGTCTAGCGGTAGCAGCAGTGGGGGAGAATGGGATCGACCCGACGGTGGCGTGTCCAGCAAAACGGCCGCGAGTGCAGCCAACACTGCGTCAACCGCCACCAACGTCAACACATTCGACCATGTCGAAAGAAATTCCATATTGAACGACCCTCGAGCTGGCAGGTTGGTAATACCTACCATTGTTTTATAACATATTTTGTAGAAATGGGCTGAATATGGATTTTACTGAATACGAATATTCGGCCGAAAGTTCGGTAAAACTTTTACAGAACCAAATATTCAGCCGAATATTATTCGGCAGATTCACTTCGGTACCTTACCAATTTACGTCGAAACTTGTTACCGTAAAGCGCGCGGGATTAGCGCCGGACCCTGCCCCTCGCTCGCCCGCCACACCTGACATGTTATTGTATCATCTAGTACTGAGCAAATTACGGGCACATGCTTAAGTTTTGACTATTTTGGTGAGAAAAAAAATATTTCGTTGTGTTATTCTTAGTGAAAATTGATAATTATATGATAAAAAATTTGTGGCAGGTGATCTACTATTTGGACTTATTTTAGAGAAATTGACCAAATAAAAGTGAAATATACTTATGTATTGTTTGATGCCAGAAATATTTCATCAAGATTTCTAATTGCTATAATTCGAAATAAATCTTACAGTGCCTAAAAACATAACATTTCAAGTAGATTTAGCCCATAAATAAAATATACTTTCAACAGTAAAATTACGAAAGACGTGGCTTTACTCAATTTGTACATTTCAATACAGTGTACACTGAGTACCACTTAAACGAATGTTCGGTGATTTAGCCGAATATTGGGCCGAATACAAATATTCGGTAAAGGTGCCGAATATGCCGAATACTAAATATGAAATGAATATTCGGGCCATCTCTAATATTTTGGTAACTGTGTGTTTTAATATAATGGTATAGCTTTTACTTCAGGCTTTGTTCAAAGTGATATTAGTAACAACTTCTAAACTAAATTAGTTATTAAAGTAAGTTTGCGATTTATATATACATATATATATATATGTCCCACAGCTGGGCACTGACCTATTAATTGTTCTTTTCATTGTGTATGAAAAAGGATCACAGAGGTGATTAATTAATCATGATTTGTAAAACGTGTAAAAACTTGAATCAACTAGAATTTACAATTTTTACCAACTTCAAATAGGAGGAGGTATTCAATTCAACTGTATAATTGTATGTTTATTTTTTTATCAGAAAGCTGTTGCTTCTCGTGTGGTCCCATATAATTTTTAAATAAGATCTGACCAGTAGCTTTTGAGTTATCTTCAATAATGCGTATTTAATTGACTTCGAATACTTTGATGATGTTCACATTTTAATTATATTGAAGTCGGTTGTACACAATTTTTAATTGTTAAACCACTTAGATACATTTTCTCTTTTTAAATATCTTTTATGTGTTGATTGATTTTTTATAAAATAATATTACTTTTTATTTTATGTCTAATAATCTCTTTCTTGTTGAATATAAGTAACGGATCTTGCTTAAATTGTGTTGTCAATAAAAGAAAAGCACCAACATCTTATTAATAAATTAAAATAATAATGATATTTCAGAGTAAAAGCTCCACGGCGTCGTCCACCGAGTCAAGTACTACGTGATGATACACCTCAACAGATCGGGCTCAGCAATGGACACGAAGGTTTTTAAGGATTTTTAGTAAAGATATCTTACTACGAGGCTTATCAAGAATCTCGTAACTCAACCTGTTATCAATATCCACATATTACTTTTTTAATTCTCATTTCTTATTTTACTACCATTGTTTAGTTTTTTTTTTTTGACATAATGACAAAGTATTATTTTTCACAATAGTGCTAATGGAGAAACCAGAGAAATTAGAAGAAATAAGGCCGCGAACGCGCGAGTGGGAGAAACATAGAGCGCCGTGGATGGAGGAACTGAAGCTAAACCAAGCCAAAAAAACTAGCTTTGGTGAAACCAAGTCACGATCGGTTTCTTCATCCTCTGACACTGGGGTTGCCAGTAAGGCCGGAAGTGGAAGCACTGACAGGTAACAAATATTTTCTGATAATAAAAGTACAAATAAATAATTTCTAGAATTGGGCCGATTAGCCGCCGACTAATCGGTGAAGCCGATTAATCAGCTTATTTGTAGTCACCGATTATTCGGCGATTAATCGGCTAAAATCGCCGATTAATAGGCTTTTTATTTTATTAATTTCAGCAAATGTTTTTCATTATTTTATGCGTGATAAGTGCGGCTACATTGATATGAGTAAAGCTTTAAATTGAAGAAAAGAATAGTTTCTCTGCCATGCGTAAAATCACGTCTGATTTATTTGTAGATAAATGAAATAAATAATAAAATAAGTAGGTTCATACATAACTTTTATTGAAAAATCGGTCTCACATGTTTTAATGTTAATTTTTCTGGACATAGGAACTTTGGTAAATAAAAAAATCTGAGGTAGCTATTTAAATTTAAAACTAAACAAAAACCTAGTAACTTACTATTTTAATTCTATAATTTTACCTTTTAAACTTCCCACTAAGAAAATTTTAAATTTTCAAAATAGGGAAGTTTTTCTACAATCGAGTTTTCATCAGATCTCGACGTTTTGAGATCCCAGGAAGCTATTCTGACTAATTTCACGCGGACGTCCGTACGGATGTTTGTATGAATGTGTGTATGTTGGTGTGTGTATAAGTATATAAACCTTTCATAAATTTTAAACGTCTTGATCAATTGAGATGCGGTTTTAAAGATCTCAATGTGAAATAGATTTGGTGATAATATGAAATGATTCGGACGAGTAGATTTTGAGAAATCTCAAAAATAAAAATTATGAAAAACTGTTTTTTGGAATAACTTTTAAAAGGCTTTACCCATTTCAAAAACAAATCAGCTCTTAACCTCAAAAAACGCCGCCGAAACGGTGATCGGCTGGGCCGATTAATCGGCCGATTAACCAGCCATTTCTTAACCGATTAATCAGCTGATCTGCCAATCGGCCAAAGTACAAATCGGCCCAACTCTAATAAGGTAAACCTATTAACTATGCCCTACCCTATTACTTTTTGTAAGTAATTATAGAGTTAGTCTTTTAGAGACACAAGTTAGTGATATTAGTTTCTCGACTCCACTGAGACAGTAATTCACTCTTGGGGCAATGTATATGCTAAGTCCCAGAAAATAAAAGGTCTGTATTACCAAATTTAAATATTTTATTAAACAAAACTGTATAAAAAGAGTTATTATAATATAAATGAATACATGGTTGATAATAATCCCTGGGAATGAGGTGGTCGCTTCCAAGCTGTATCTAAAATAAAGATGTATGCCTTTATATACATTGATTGTTTTACGGGTCGCGTCTATCTACAACTGTTGCATAAAATCAATTGTTTTTTATAATAATGTGATAACTTATCACCTTTTCATTTAGAGGCCAGGGAAAAATGCTGTAAAATAAATAAGTTTTTAGGGCGGACTTAATGCCATTAGGCATTCTCTCCCAGTCAACCCGGGACGTGTGGAAATTATGTGATAGGTGACAAAATAAAATGAACAATAGAGTAAAACAAGGAAAAAAACTACCGATAAACTTAAAAACAAACTAATATTATATATACAAATACAATAAACTTATATACTCCAAAATATAATACAGATAATATATAATATATACATACATATTCATAGATACATAAATATATACATATTTTAAATACAAATAGATATATAATATAAACTTATAAATAAAATAACAACAGAGGTAACCAAAACTAACCATATTAACTATCATCTAATATTTTCATAAAATGCTTATGTACCAATCTTTTAAAGGCAGTCTTATTAGATGTTTTTCTGACGTCATCGGGCAAGGAGTTCCAGAGCAGTGCAGCCTGAATTGTGAAGGATTTACCAACAAAATCAGTAAAATGTAGAGGGATACTTTATTTATGTGGAACGCAAAGTTCTATCATGCGTTAGGGAAATATATTGAAATTTCTCCTTGAGATAAAAAGGAGTGGATGGATCATTTAAGATAGAGAAGAGAACAAGCAAAATTCTAGAGTCACGCCTCTGTTTAATAGTGAGCCATTTTAGGCGCGAGCGATAGTGAGAAATATGATCAAATTTACGGAGATTGAAAATGTATCTGACGCAATTGTTGAGAAGGCGCTCTAGCTTGTTGAGAAGATTTTGGTTTAAATCCGGGTAACACATGTCTGCATAATCAATGATTGGTAGTATAAGTAACTGTACAAGCATAATTTTAGTCTTAAAGGAGAGAAAATTTTTCAATCGATAAAGAGATATGAACCCCCCAGGACAGAGTACTATCAATATGGAGACCAAGATTTTTAACTGAGGGAGAGAACGGTATCAGATGATCATTATAATAGACGGGAGGTAGACTAGCGGCATCTATTTTAGCAAGCATCCTTGAGCTACCCACAATCACCGCTTGGCATTTCGTAGGGTTGACAGATACTCCAAAGCGCATAGACCAATCACAGACTGACTTGAGATTTGAATTCAATTTGTTAATCGCATAATGGATGTCAGAAATGTCAGACTGTACATAAATTTGTAGGTCATCAGCATGCAGATGGTACGAATAATCAATATTAGATGTGATGGAATTAATAAAAATAGAGAAGATTAATGGAGAAAGTATACCGCCTTGCGGTACGCCAGAAATCAGGTCAACCCACTGTGAAGTCATTTGCTCCACGTGGACAGACTGTTGACGTCTGCGAAGATAAGATGAAAACCATTCCAGGACTAACGGTGCAAATCTATAATAAGAAAGGATAGCAAGAAGGATATCATGGTCAACCGTGTTAAAAGCATTAGAAAAGTCAACGAGCACCACAACCGTAACTTTCTTGTTTTCCATTCCTTCTCTAATATCTTCAGTTATTTTAAGTAAGGCAGTTGTAGTGCTGTGACCAGGACGAAACCCGGACTGAAAAGTACTCAGCAGGTTATGTTTATATATGAAATTGGAAATTTGCTTATGAACACAGGCTTCCAAAACTTTAGATAGGAAAGGTAAAACTGATATGGGACGGAACACATAGGGAAGTGTGGGATCGGATACTTTAGGAAGGGGTCTAACGAAAGCGTTTTTCCACTGACTCGGAAACTGACCTGAGTCAAGCGAAAAATTAACAATATGTGTGATTGCGGAGATAATGTGTTCTAGAATATTAACAATCATGGCTCTGCTAATATCATCGCAACCGACAGCCTTGGATTTTATCGACAGAAGGATCTTTCTGATTTCATCCTGATCTACAGGGTTAAAAAGAAAGACTGGTATGTGTGGAGACGGAATTGAGGCTATGTAAGCGACTGTTTGGGATCGGATTGAAAGGTCCAACGCAGAAGCAGAAGCAAAATGAAGATTTAAAGCATCGTGAGAAAGCGATAAACCACAATCCAAAGAGGGTGTTTTGCCCACACCTAGAGAACTAAGAAATTTCCACACATCAGCTGGCGAAGAATTACTTATATTGCTATGGATACATCGGCGTTTTGCAGAACGTACCATCTGATTGCATCTGTTTCTGGCCTTCTTAAAAGACAACCAGTTTTCCTTAGACCTGCTCCTCTTGAACCGGGCAAATGCTCGATTTCGCCTAGTCATGGCCTTCCGTACCTCTTCAGTCATCCAGGGAGCTGGTGGCCGTCGTAGTTTCACTTTACGTACAGGAGTATGGTTATCATACAAAACATGAATTATGTTTTTGAAAATAGTTACTTTATCATCTACTGTTGATGCAGTTGCTAATGGCGTAAAATCTATAAGCGATGCGTCTTTCAAAAGCTTATCCATATTAATTCTACTAAAATTATGTAGGAATATAAAAAAGTACAGTAGGTCGATATTTGGGAGGTTTAAGGTTGTATGATACATAAATAAGATCATGGCAGGAAAATCCCGGCGCTTCAAGTTGCCCATATGACAGCACCCTGTCAGAGGAGTCAGTTATAATGAGATCAATCAGAGAGTCATCAGTGTCAATATTATGATGAGTTGCCTTTAAAAGAAGAATGTTGAGATTGACAGATTCAATGATTTTACGAAGCTTTTGAGACCGGACTGAATTTTTCAGTAAATCCGTGTTGAAATCTCCCATGATTATGCAGTGGGTGTACTCAGAACCAATGTTATCGAGAGCCTCTTCTAAATTGGCGAAGTAATCAGTGGAAGGAGGACAATACACTGCTCCAAGAATCATCCTTGAGCCCTTAAAATCAAGTTCTATAAAAAGAAATTCTGCGGAAGCAGTGTAAGGAGAAGGGGATGCTAATATGATTTTGTAAGAAATAGTAGCGTGGAGATATATTGCAACTCCACCTCCTCCTTTATCTATACGATCATTCCTAATCAGCACAAAACCAGGAAGAGGGTACAATGCCGAATTTAAAGACGGTTTCAGTCGACGCGTATTTGTTGTTAGAGAACGATGCTTCTAGCTCAGAAAAGTGGCTGGGAATACTTTGTGCGTTAATATGGCAAACATTTAACGTTCTATCAAAAAAGTGAAAAATGCTATTCAATTGGCTACTTAAAGAGGGCACACTATAATTCGTCTGATCGTCAAAAGATTCAAAAGAACTCTCTGACTCAATAGAATAAAAAGAGTCAGAGTCAGACATGATAAGTTAAAAGCATTATATACCCAATATAAAAATAAATAAAATAAAAATATATAAAATACGATATTAAATAAAAATATTTATCAATAATATATATAACAAAAATACTACCAAGATATAAAAAAAACAATGACTTAAATAGTAATAAATCATTAAACATCATCCCACCAGTTAACTGTTTACATAATATAATCAGTACTAAATAACAAAAAAAAAAAACAATTGTACTGAACTATCGATTAAAAAAGAAACAAAAACATAAGCTAAGTAATTAAATAGCGAGCTAACACAGTGACTCAATTATAAACAAAAATAACATAAATATTAATAAAAATAACATAAATATTAAAATAAGACAACTAAATATTTTAATAGCAGGACACTACAGAATTAATCGAAAAATTAGCAATAAAAACATCCTTAAAAACATCCAGAAAATTTAAATCTAACAAGAGTACATAATTCAGCAGTGTTGCAAAAGGATCTGTGCCCATGTTACCATTACTGTGTAGACAGTAAAAGTTATTATCTATGGTCAACAGTCTTTGCCTTGCCTTTGCAACTGTCTATGCCTAGCTCTAGCATCTACGGACTACAATAACATTTATCTATGATATTTGGTTACATTTTAACACTTTACATGATAAAAATTATAAACACAAACTAATTTACTAAAGTTTACAAATACAATTAAAGTTAATATAATAAAATTAGCTAATAATCAACATAAAACTATTGGAATATGAATAAAGGAAATACTAAAGACAAGTTATAGCAAATTAGTTACATATAATTGGACTACAATCGATTTATATTCTTGTCTAATGCTGCCGGTTAATAAAACTAAAAATAGTTATTATGTTACCAGACAAAGTAAACTATAAGAAAAGGAAAAAAATACGAAAGGAGATGAACATAACCAAAATATGATAACAAGAATAACAAGGATATCTTGGAAAGTTAAAAGCAATGTAGGAATTACTTCTTACCAACCAGTCGTCTAGATCTCTTTACGTCATCAATTTGAGTTACCGCTGAAGTATGAGTGCGACGTGCTGCATCATTTTGCCGATTCTAAGAGCTCTGCTGCGGTGGGGTGACCTTTGTATTAGAAGCCTTGTTAGAACTCTCAGGGGAACCATCCATGGGGTACTTGGCTATTAGATCGTCCAATTCATTCTCAGTGGATATCTTCGTTCAGCCTCCCGAGTGCTTTACATAGATTGCACCATCAATTGTCCAGACATTTCTAATTCCGAAATGCTTACGGGCATTCTTATGTATGGACTGACGAAATTTAGTGAGGAATTCACACATTGAAATGGCAGACCCTTTAAACTTTGATTTTAAATTCCAAATCGCAGACTTAGTGCTATGATCATTAAAGTGCACAAGAATTGGCCTTGGACGGGTACTGGATTGAACACAAGTCTGTGGCATTTCTTGAGAGAGTCATCAGTAATATGACTTAGACCCAGATACTTGTGCAACAGTTGTAAAATTTGCTGTTTTAGGTCAACATCAGAAGCCTCAGCTAATCCATGAAAAATCAGATCTTTTCTCCGGTGATACATACTGATTGCATCAACACTTTTGTTGCATTCCTGAATTTGCTGTTGCAGCAGGCTGAACATGGAACTAACAAGTACCTTGAATGAATCAAACTCCTCCCGAAGCTGTAAAACTGTTGGGTTAGTTGGAGTAGTTGCAGCCTTCAGACGTTTCTCAAACTCCATCATCTTCCTGGTCAAGCTCCCTTCCAATTCCTTTTGGATATTCACAACTTCAGAGACATTTGCCATTGTAGTAAAGTGAATTAACCGAGGAGAGATAGAATAATAGTAATTTTTATTTAGTGTGACAGATGTTATGGAGGGAAGATGAATATAAATATTTTAACTAGATTAAATGCACATGCCTATAATTGATAATAATGCTAAAACTTATTCTTCCAAATTGGAGTTAAAAATTAAACAGCTAAGTTAATTATACTTATTTTTAAATGTAAATAAAACACAAGAGATAATTTCAGCTGTTATCTGTTTTGCACCTACCCTCGAAAAAAAAACTTAACTTAGGTTATAACCTGTCAACCGTACACTATGGTATACTATGGTGTGGGAAGAAAAATAACTTACCACTTCATAGCATAAAACCACAAAAATCATATCTAATCATAAAATAATAAGATAAGTAACAAAAAACAATTTGTTATTTTGAACATTCATAAACCACATGACGAATTAATAAGATTTTCAGTGTCTGTGAAACGAAACGTGTAAAACCCGTTTTTTTAAATATTTTTTGGCATAGCTTCTGGGCCTTTAAGCCATTTTAAAACGCGTTCCGTCTCCAAAAGTCTATGGAGAATGATAAAGCAATATTACGTTTTTCCTGGCTTTGTTGGAAAATTCAATTATGCGATACTAAATAATGAGAATAAAGGCAAATTTTTAAGATATTTTACATCACTAGACGCGTTAGAAATATTTCAGGTCAAGATTGGACATGATTCTTTTATAAATACTTTGTAATCCTTCATATTGTAAAATTTATTTTAAAAACAATAGTTCGCTGGATTTCTTGATTGTTTTTCCCAGGACGGAGATTTTCTTCCGAACCAGTGGTCAAGTAAAAAAGACTCAATAAGAATTACATGTGATCTATATTAAAAAAAAAAGAGTTGTTAGCTCATTTTTTATTGTGTTATCCATTCATATTTATGTGGTAGTTTGTTAATTATAGTTTTCATTTTCGTGGTAAAATGAACTATGTCTTAACAACTCACTTATAGTTATATAGGTTCTTGTTAATAAGGAAAATTTTAGTCAGAATTATTCATTTTTAATTACTGATAACGGACAATTTCTCCCAAATCTATCAGAAGTAAGTTTCTACTTGTGTTCTGCTCAGTCAGAACTTGAATGATAACATAAGATTTTGAAGTTAAACACCTTAAAATTAAAAACTATTTAAGGTATATATTATGAATATTTTAAGAATAAAGCTAAAGATTTGTAAGAAAAATATTCACTGGTTAAGGCCACACTCGGGGAAGTATTAAATATTAAATGGACCAATATCAAAGTTAAGTGAGTTTATAAATTTTGCTGTTCTAATCATGAAATAATTACGTCTATAGTTCGTATGAGTTCTGTTTATGTAAAGAAGTTTGCGATTACTTATATTATTGATTTTTTCAATTATTACTTACGTACAGTGAAATAAATTTTTATTACATGATAATATTTTATTCATTTTAGAATTCTGGACTGCGGGTTAGAAGAGAGGAAGACGTCGACACATTCGATGGAAATGTCGAAGAGCACATCTTCCATAAGTAATAGGATATCTGTGTTGGAAAGCTTCGAAGAGGTTAGATTGAGTTTTAATCTGTTTTAAGTAGTACTCATAAATTGAAAAGCATAAAAAGTAAGAAAATACTATAAACAATAGTTAATTCATTTGATATATGTAAGTTTTCACAGCAACAAAATTGTATTAAAATAAGAATCAACCTAAGTGGTCTCTTGATTGTCTTCGTGCTTTAAAATATTTGTATATTGCAATTATGAATTTGAATATGGATATTATATTATTTCAGATATACAACTGATTCCGATATGTGTTCCGTTACTTATACATATAATTTTGTTGCTTGTGGAAAATTTATAAAATAAATGTATAATGGTAAAGTCTATACGTATTATATACGTGATGGACTCGTGCTATAATCCAATTTTATGTCCAGCGCCGTTGATAATTTTCGACTGTTTATTATAATCCACAGGAAAGCTTTCACCATAGCCGAAATTGGTTTGGAACGTATGATTATCATTATCAAATCAGTGACACACCATGAAATAAATTATACATTTGTATTTTTACAGACCAAGGTTCGACACTGTCAGGAGTTGAAGAAGGATTTGACCACGAGTCCGCGAGAAGTCGAACCTGCCACAAACAAATCTGTACCCACCGTGCCCTCACCCACCGCCGCTGGTATGTTTGAGTATTTTCAAATTAATAAAATAATGTTTTCTAATATATATCCTTAAATTAAAGAAATAATTGTTTTTATAATATATCCTTAAATTAATGAACTAAATGTTTTCTGATATATCCTTAAATTATTGTTTTAATAAATTCATATTTGTTATGAAAACATTTGGTTTCGAATTTGGACTTCACTATAACACTACAATTGTAGTATGTCTGGAGTGCTTTTATTTTGATTAGCATATATTGTCCTCTATTTTTTCATTTTTTTCTCTTTTTTTATGAATACTAAAAATAAAGGTATTTTCATTTTTAAATGATTATGTAAAATGTTTAATAATTCTCCATTTATTACTTGATTTTATAGGACGAACTTTAACGGCAATGCTTGAAGAATTGAAGAAACCACTTACCCCTACGCCTCCAGCAGCATCAGTACGCACATGCAATGAACCCGCCACCGATAAATCACCAAACACAAAATACGAGAGAGTAGTCACAAGCTCGGAGAAACAAAGCGAAGTGAGCTCCATAAGCAAGCCCTCTGCAATTGTCATGGAGAAATCTACAGTTTTAGAGAAATCGGAAAAAGTTGAAGAGAAAGTTTCCGAGAAACCGTCTAGTTTATTAAGTGATAAAGTCAATTCAAGTACCTTAGAGAGGCGAGTTCATTCCGCTGTGAAAACAGAGAATAAGATTGAAGGCACTGACGCGTTGATCGCTCAGCTCAACAGCAGGGTAAGTAGTGTCACATTAAAATTATGTTTTGTTAAATAAATAGATAATTATGTTTATGCATTATTCATTTAGTTTGAGTTGTAACTGTAACAATGTTTTAATCCTGAAGATCAAATCAATTCTTAATTTGCTATATCATATACAAATTTATTGTATGGGAGTTACATATAAATATATGGGGGTAGTTGAAACCATCTTAATAATTTGCTATAGTGCCCGCGCTATCAACTGAGTCATCGGGCAATAAATCATTGTAATCAGTCTGTCTCGCTCGCACTCGTTCGGCTTAGGAGTGTCATAATGAAGTGCGTAACAGTAGGTAGTCGATATCGATAAGATTTATTGAATGGATTTTTTAAGGTTTCAAATTATGAAATTATAAAATAACACAATAAAATATAATCTACATTTATAAATATTTTATTATATTACAAATTATCTTCTTCATCCGAGTGATCTGTGTGACTATTGTATTCCTGTAGATTTATAACCAAAAGCAAACCTCTATCACTCTTGCTACCTACGTGAAATAATTATCTAAAATCGCGACGCGCCCGGGCGAAATAACGCAGTCAGGGCTAGCACGTTGGAGGCGATTGAATGAATTAATTTAATAAAATAAATTTTAATATGGCAAAACGTCGTTCCTACCCATTATTTAATAAATTTTAATATGGAAAAACGTCGTTCCTACTATAATTATTTAGATTAGATAGACGCTGAATGACCAACAAAATATTTCAGATATATCATTCTTTATTACCGAAGGATTTTAGTAGGAAGTTATGAAACTTGAATTTATTTAATTTTTATTGTTAGATAGGTACTTTTAGCAAAAAAGAATTAAGTAATAATTTATTTAATATCTACGAACTTTATTACAAAATTTAGTAGAAATTTACTTCACTATCCAAGTATCTACTTACGTACATATACTTGCCTTTTGTATTAAAATATTTTAAGCTGTTATTTTTTAACACAAAACACTGAAATCAAAACTTTGTTTACCAACAAAATATTTAACTAAGTAAAATACGATTACGTTTCTGTTAGGAATCGTATTTCAAGTTTGTTTGTTGTTTACACTATCTACCTTTTCTTTCCGAGCCAAGCGTCGCGATTCCCGACGAACGGCCTTGCAAATTGCATGCGTTAGGCATCGCAGAACTCACGTAGGTGCGAAAATATGGTCTGTCGTTCAAAGTCAGAATAGGGATTTCACCTAAGTAACCTAAATAATATTTCGCAATGTATTTTGTTACTCTTTATTGACATCTCTCCATAACAACAAAAAGTCCACCGTAACGTAGGAAGAGGAAAATGTGCAAAGTAATACGGACACTCGCGCAGCGATAAAATTTTATTTAGCTTGCGAGCGCGATTTATCTAATTAATAATAATTATGTTGGCTATTAAACGTCGGCAGGCAGTCAACATTAAAAGAGTGACACTTCTGTACGTAGTACCACAGTGTATGAATTCATATAGTAGGTCGACGCCTTTGATCTCGTGGTAAATGCCGACAACGTCTAGACAGCGCATTACTTACTAATTAAATTATTTATTTTAGATCCACATCGTCATCAACAGTATGATTACTAATATAAAGAAGAAGAAACAATTTGTTCTTAAATTTTTTCTGAAAGTACTCAAACCGCTAATTGCACGCCTCACAACGTGAATGAGTACTCTACTCTATAAGTGGCCATACCTCAATTTCACTATATAAAATCGTTCAATTTTCTCTTTTAGCTAGACATCAAATCCATATTGTTATTAATGTTATAATTACTACAGACATTGAATTATAAGACTAGTTTATTTTCTAATTGATTGACATTAGATTACATAACAAAATATGTAATTGAAAAAAGTTGTGTCCACCATCTTGGATTTGAAAATATGTCCTGTTTTTACCCCAAGAAACGTCGAAATTGATACCTATATTATATTATTAAAAAATGGCCGTCATCTTGGAAAATGGGTGTTGTTTTCTTAATCATCACCTCAGGAAACCTCAAAATTGACACCATAACATTAAAAAAAGCATGTCCACCATCTTAGATTTAAAAACTAATACCGTTATTGTAATCAGCACCCTGAGAAACCTCGAAATTGTATGTCATATCATTTATTTAAAAAAAAATTGTCCATCCCTCTTGGATTTGAAAATATATACCAGTTTCGTAATCGACACCCAAAGAAACCTCGAAATTGACATCCATATCATACATATATTAAAAAATTACCGTCATCTTGGATTTAAAAATAAATGCTATTTTCGTAATTTGCACCCCGACAAACCCAAAACTTGACTCCTAAACCTTAATATTTTATAAAAACGGTAGTATGGTCTAAGATCTCAGCCTATCCAATCTCACGATTTAGATGAAGGGAAAAAATCAAACTTCGAAACACATGCCCAGCGACTAGTACCTTTTTATACGTCCGCCTTTTTTACGTTGGCAATTGGGCATGGCATAATAAAATATACACAATGCAAAATAATAATAACAATATTTATTTACCTTTCTTCCGTGTGATGAATGATGCGCAGTTTTTATGCGAGATGACGACTTGCAATCTCTCACAGCACACGTCTTAAGCACCATTTTAATTATAGGTACCTAATACATACATTAAATTTACAATAATAAAAGCAAACATGCGTTAACCCTGGAAGTCGTGTCCCGAGTTACAAATACAATTGACATAAGTAACTCGGGCTCGTCCTTCCCGCGTCTCGCCCCGCACACCCCGCACGATTGCCCTGTTTAGGCGTCCTCGTCGGACTACTGTATGAAATTATATATTGTGGTAGTACTATTATTTATTCTGTGTCAAAAGGTTCAACTTGATCTCTCAAAAAAGAATTAGAGAATAAATTTATATACAAGGATAAATACAATGAGGCTAGCTTTGTCCGCCGCGATAAGGCGGACTCAAGTAACGAGTGAGTAACATTCCTATTGTTATTGACATTTATGGCCCGATGCCTCAGTTGATAACGCGGGCAATGTACACGGATAACTTTACTTTATCTATGTATATTATTTGCTGCCTTGTCGGTCTAGTGTTGTAATAGTGCGACAGTGGTCGTAGAAGGAAAAGGGGAGATCTCCCGCCGGGCAAGGTGCTATGCCCGGGGAGCGGCCAACGCTCCGTGTGATAGTTCGGAGATGTTCTATATATGCTGTTTATGATTCGGAATGTTAATAGCGTGATTTAAGCTTCGGTGTGTTTCGCTTGGGGCGCGATGACAGCGCCGCCACACGACTGTTGTTCATGAGGTCCCGGGTTTGAATCTCGGGTGGGACCAAAAAAAAATCCGTCCTTGAGTTTTTCCATTAATAAAGTCTTAGTAGCTGCCCAGAGTCAGGAAGTTGGAGGTGTCCCACCCCGTGCCATGGAAAGCACGTAAAGCCGTTGGTCCTGCGCCTGATCTCTCTCCGGTCGTGTCGGTTTACTGTCCCATCGAATTATGAGGGTGAGGGAATACAGAGTGCACCTGTGCTTGCGTATACACTTGGGCACTATAATCTTGACCTGCGCCGATGGCTAGTCTCCGTAGAGACCGAAAATTCTGTCTGGAGGACATTGTATTTGCTACATCATGTTTGAATTTGCTGCTGCTAGTAGTGTCTCAAAACGAGTTGTGTTTTGTATTCTAAGTTATATAATATTTTCATTATTTCCACTACAGACTATCAAAAGTGCTGTGCTGAACGTAGGGCTACCCCACGGATTACTTCATAGGGAACAATATGTACTCATTAAAAATCGTGGTATATTGATAGACTTGAATTTAAAGAGTCCGTCACGAATGAAGTTATTTAGCCTCAACACCGTTTTCTACGCCAAATGTGACATTTATTGTCAAATTCCATACGTCAATATTTAGTTGGCATATTTTTCACGGGATTTGTATGATGAAACAAACTAGATTACACCTGTGAATAATTATTATAAACTACTTTTTGTACTAAGAATATGAAAGTTTCGATCAAAATTCAAATTTTCAGCAAAATATTTCGAAAAGCTATTATAACGGTGAGTTTCTTGTCTCAGAGATTTTCTCATCTCCCATTTTCCGGCGCATTCTAAGTCTAAATACATCTGCATAGACAATCTACAAGTATCTAGGACTTGAAAATTTGAGAATTCCTTATTGCCAGTAATTTCTGGAGGGTTTTATCTTAAGTCGAAAATGACCGCGTCAACCTCTACTGGGACAGGACTAGTAATGACTTCCTTAATATCTAGTATTCGTTTAAATATATGTAATCATTATGCGTCATTATTTTGATGACTAAATAAACATCTTCAAATGAAAAGTTTTTCGAGGCTTTGCCTGGACACCTTTGAAGGTTTGAGATTATACTTGTGTTGAGTTGGTAATACACTGTATGTTGTCACAACATAATATATTGTATTTACTTACAGATAACAAACTTGGAAAAGTTACTAGAAGTACAAAATGCTAAATTTAATGCTGCTATTGAAGAACTGACCACTAAACTATCAATGGAAACTGAAAAGAGGCAAGTGTTACAGGCTGAAATTGAAAAGTTGGCACAGTGCGTCACTCAAGTTTAGCCATTATTGTAGTCAATGTCTACGGTCGACCTGTTTTGTATATTATTTTAAATTGCGATGCGAATTTTGAAGTGAATGAGTGTTAAACTGTTGTGTAGGATAAGAAGCAAGACCTGAATCGAACATTGATCTTTACCTGCCGATTGGTATGTAATCGGCGATTTTGTACTGCTTTTAATAGTTTAATGCATAAACCCTTATCTAACGATGTTTATTTGCTCCCAAAATTTATAGTCTTATAAAAAGAATATTTTATTTTTATAACACAGTTTTAATGCTTATGAGGTGTATTACCATAATATTATAGTGGAGATGACATGTTAAAATTAATGATTTTATTCGTTTTTAAGACATCATTATATCGTAGCAAAGTCGTGTACTTAAAATATACAAGTCTTTAGAGCATTGACGACTTAAAGTTAGTAACACTATATTAATAATAGCACAAGATAAAGTTAAATCAATCAAGTAACGTGTCTTATTGTTGCTAAGCATAGTATGTATTGGTATTGACTTGTTATTTTATCCACAGTTCTAATTGTTACTTTCGTTTGTAAGTATAAAGCGCATTCTATGTATTTGTCGCAGCTAATTTCAATATTTGTAAGATTATGTATCTGCTACTTTGTACTGTTTAAACAAAAGCTTTCATATTTATACATATATATGTATATTGTAATTATATTAGCTTAACGCAAATGAATTGCTGCCTAAACTTATATTTGTAAATATTAATTGTAATTTATATAATAATTCTCAACACGTAAATTATGATTACAAAATTTGTGCCATTTTGTTTGAACGCTGCGTAAAATGGGGTAAAAGGTCTGGTTTTGTAAATTCATATACTAGTTTATATTATTAAATAATAATTTACGTCATTCCTATTTGTGATTAACACATTCCATAACACATTAATAATATGTTTAATCAATAATCATTCATTGGTCATAGAGATATTTTAACCAAAGCTTAATTTTTTCAACCATATATATATATATATAATATTAAACATAATATACACCAAGAGCCATATTTTAACTGTAGTTAATATATTTTTGTATGTGTACAAAGATTGATTATAATGATTTTACACTTTTACGCATGTACCTTTTTGTAAAACATATCTGTCGTGTTTAAATGAATGAAGGTAAACAAGGGGGCTGACAATTCGCACACTAAATAAATCATCCCGGTAAAACGTTAAAATCCCGTATTTAAACTACGTACATATTAATAGAAGAAAAGCTGGCAGCCTCGAACTACTAACATGTGTAAAACATGGTTGAAACTTTTTACTATACATAATATTATATTCTTAACAAAAGAAATACCTAAACTCTAGTTGCAATATTAATTCCTAAATTATTAATATTATAAAACAATTGCAAAATATAATAATATGCTTCTACAAAGCTGGCGTTTAAATATATTTTAATTTATATATTTTCACAAATAGTGAAACTTGCCGAACTTGTGAATATTCACAAAAAAACATGTTTTAAACACTGTTTTCTGTTAATGTATCAAAAAGCGTTTGCATAGTCAAAGAACATGTTGTAGTGAAATATGTTTGACAGTTTATTGTACATTACATATTTTAACTATATTATATCTTTATTACTACAGAAACAAAATTTTTGAAAACAAATTTATAGATATATTGTCATATTGAAAGTTAAGTTTGAATAGCTGTTGAAAATTTTACACATTTTTGTGAGTGCGGACGCCACCATCATAAAACATGTTGTGAGATTTATTTTATGTAATATGTTTCAAAACATTACGTGTTGGATGTTTCTCAGTGTAAACGTACTGTTAGATCAATGTATTATTGTTCACTATATTTCATTCATCCATTACAGCCTATAAAGTCCACTGCGAACACTACGAACGTAGGTCATCATATATTGTCTCAAGGGGATATTTTGCCATAGTTGCCACGCTTGGCAAGCGGGTTGGCAATTGCAATTTTCTTGTGTCATTTTCCCCTCTGTCGCCTTTTATGACACCTTCCGGAGGGTTTAGTGTAGTGGATATTCTTACACCGCCACTATATGGTTCACTATACTGATTCTTATTAAATTGGTATAAAATTAAGTCCACACTAAGTTTTGTATATCATACAATCTCTTAAGTGGATGACAGCTCTTAAATTAAAAGAAAACTAAAATTAGAGTAAAAACAATACATTCTTAAAAAAACATATTGTAATGAGTACTTATGTAAATTTTTTTCAATATTTTGCTAAATCAGTTAGATATGTCTAGTTTAATAAGTCTTGCCGGGGTTACCAGTAAATTGAGTGACTTACCAGAATGCCTTGTGTGACAATTGTTAGTCCTCTAATTTGTATTCAAGATGTTTGTTTTATTTGTTTATATGTTTTGTGTTTATTACTCGATGTATATGAAGTCCACCTCTTTCATTATAAGTATTAAATAAAAAACCTATCTGTGAAACGTTATAGGTTATAATAAGGTTGTGTTTCCCATCCAATGTTTTACATGTTTTGTAACATTTATGCAAGATTTTATATAACTCTTTGTCCGCGGTGTATTGACCAAAGGCCAAAATATAAAATAAATTCAACACAGGAAAATACTAATATATGAATATAATGGTGTATTTTAATTTATGAGGCCTGTTCATCTAATCTTTAAGGGACCATCTATGAAATACGTCATAAATTGTATCCCCACTGCATATTCGTAATTAAAAATTTTTTTTGTACGTAAACGTGACGTTACTTTTTTAGATACCCTCCCTCGACCTTGCGTACGTATTTCATGGTCGGGACTTTATAGTTTATGAGGAATACACGAAATGCGATTAAATATCGTTCGTAATGTTGATAGTCAGCTATAATTGGTAATAATGTTGAAATTTATAGAGTAATACTAGAGAACATAGTTTATAGGTTATATTGTGATAGACATTGCCTAACTTATCGTACATGCTAGTTATTGAAATGTTTGAATGGCTTTAATCATGCACAAATAAGGTCACATGCGCTTACTGCGTTAAAATTATGTCTAGCATTGAAATGTGAATTAGAAAAAATAATTTAATATCGTTATAAAGACGTTTTAAGCGGTTCCCGGAATAAAAATTATTGTTATAGTTATGCATGGGTTTACGTATTTTTACCGTAAATATTTGTTTACAATAGATAATTTATAAGAAATCAAGGTAACGATTTCGTGAGCAGTAATATTTACGTGTAAATGATATTTAATGATAGCGTTTTTGGTTTCTCATTAGAAGTACAAAAATAATTAAGTTTTGTTATTCATTGTAATTTAGCATTAAAACCGCAAATTATACTAACGCTATCTGTTGACTATAACTTTAGGGCATGTTCGCGTATAGTTTGCAGCTAACTGAATGAGCTTAATTATTAATTCTTATACAGAGTTTTGACTACCGCGTCTCTAGTGCTTAATTTATGAACCGCCGGTACGCCAGATGAGATCACACCCTTGCATTTATACTATAGTGTTGCCAGCAACGTTATACGGATTGTTTTTTATTTAAATTCGAACTAAAATTGTACTGCTTTAAGAATAGTTCGTTGTTGATGACGAGTTGACAGGAGAATGTCTTACTATTTTATTCCGTATTAAAAGCTGTGTGAGGAAATAAACAAATAATCAACAAGAAAATAATTATACTCATAGCTCTAAAATGAGGATAGTTTTTCCTATCCGTCTTCAAAACGTAGTAATTATGTAACTAATGTATTACATTTTATCAGTACCTCATCTATAGTCTGTGACAGGTTAAAACAATATTGAAGTTTTTTATTATAAGCCGGTACTTATAATAAGTAAAAAATTAATAAAATATAGCTTGTGTCGCTGTTCTCAGGTAATTAAAAGCTTTGGACATAGGTCTCCTTTAAATTGAGACGCTTTTTTTACCAATCAGCACTACTAATATGCTGATTGGATATTCCATAATCTGACTTAAAATGAGATGAATTCACTTACGGAAAGCATACCTACGCATATGCGCGGCATTTGTATTTTTGAAAGTGGTGTAGGTAAACACATTCAGCTTTATTAGACGCAATGTAAATTCCGTTCTAATGTTTACGGATAAAATAGAGAAATCGAACACCAAACGTTGTGCCAAATTATGCATGACACGTTCCTTCATTCTTTTCCATCTAGCCTTCTAAGGTGATTCATATGTTCCATGTTTTGTAGTTATTGAAATTCTATCAGTAATGCTGTAACGAAATTCAATGAATGTATTATGCAATTTTAGTAAAAATTAAGTGTTGTGAAAATCCGGTCATAAGATAATTATTTCATGTAAGGCTCGTTCGTACCTGAGATATCGTATTAATGAATACTGATTTAATTTTAAATGTAGCTGTGGTTACTACGGATATTTATCTGATATAATTGTAGCTCAACGAATTCAATTTGTTAATTCTGAAACGACAAGGGTGTTTAAATTAATGAAGTATTTTTAATTTAATAAGAGCTGGCCAGATAAACACGTTCTATATTTAAAAGGTTTTGTCTTTCATAGTAATTAGTAACTGACCTTATGCAATTTAAAGCAAACGCACAATTATCCGAGCCGAACGCATCGATCGAATTGAAGTCAAGAAGGCCTTGCACATATCCACAACGAAAGAGTCTGTCGCGCCGAAAAAAAATCGTTTCCACTTCCTTTACACCTGTCGCACTTGTGAATTGTGATAGATTTTGACGATTTTGATTTTATTAGTGTTAGATGAAGAAAGTAATAATTCTATTAAATTAGAATTTTTAAATTAGCACTTAAAAATGAAGAATTGGTACGCGCACGTTGCTCTGTCGCCCGCAATTCGTATATACTTATACGTGGTAGAGCCACGCTGTATCTATATTATGGTTGAAGCACGAATGGGTCGGCTCGACTGCGGAAGGACCACGCTCTCGTAGAATACCAGCGTAAAATAGCAGCTTAATGATGCAGATGTTTCGTATGGTGACTGTAGAGAA